TATCCAGGCTCTGGAAATCCAGGGCACCCGCCGGGCAAGATTGAGAGCACAGGGAAACCAAAACCTTTTTTGGTATCACCAGGGCTTCAGCATCTAAATCCAGAGCATCCAGAAGCCATTGGATGGGAAAACCCACCCGGGTGCTGCCTCCATCCCTTCGCTGACCATGGCTTGCTGCAAAGGAGGACACCCAGAAAATACCCCAAAGGTTTCTAGCAGGGGTGTGGGTCATGCAGGTGGGGCTTCACCTGGGGAAACCGGGGCTGGGCAAGGAGATTTCAAAGGTTGTTTTGCAATGCAGAAGGTTAAGGATGAGGAGGAACCCCTGGGGCCGGTCACCGCTAGGATCTCCTCCTGCTTGCCCTCAGGATTAGGTATCAGTCAACTGAGCGGCATAAAACCCACCTGCAGAGGACTAAGTCAACAGAGGCACAATACATGCTGATAGATGAGCCTTGGGATGCCCAGCTTCGAGCCTTGTGGGACATCTTGGATAAATTGCCCCGCTGCCCCACGCCTCAGTTTCCCCTCCTTACAGCACTTCTCTTGTCCTTGGGAAGGGCACTCAGCTAGGAGGGCATGAAGTGCTGGGTCCTTGCTGCGAGGTTGGGCCCTGGGGTCCTGTCCCCGGGGCAAACACAGCACTGCTCTTGGGAGTACGCTCAGTTAAAGAGCGGATCGTCATGGACGGAGAGGGCATAGGCTTTACAAGACCCACTGATACACCAGTTTTTGGGGGGCAGGGGAAGAAAGACATCCATGCAAGTCCAGGGATGCTCAGACCTATTTTGCAGGTAGGAAACCTGTTCAGGGTTCGCCGTGCCGTGCAGGGACCTGGCCGAGCATCCCAGCCCTGCCTCCCTGCCAGTAGATCAGGGTGTGCTGCCGGCTCTCTTCACCCCTAGCCAAAATCTGCACAGCTGCTTGCCGAGAGCTGGGGTGGGATGAAGGCAGGGGACAGATTTGCAAGGCTGTGTCACGAGGATGTCTTCAAACCCAGAAGCATGGAGCCAGAGCAGCTCTCTCTAGGCCAGCAAATGCTCTGGGGGCTTCAGGGGGGGTCAGGGCAGCAGGTTAACGCCACCCACTTGACTTTGCATTTTGGGCAAGGCTAAGAGTAGAGTAAGAAGGGAGTGTAATTAGCAGAGATGCCCACTGCAGGATTTACCCCAGCTCTTGCCAGAAGCACCCTAAAGAAATGAAGCATTTTTAGGGGGCCAAAACAAGCCTTTTTAATCCCCTCCCGTTCACCTGGGAATAAATCCTGGCTCTGCTGCTCAGGGGACATTGCTCTACAGAAAGGGGATAGAGCAGCTGGCCAGAAGGCTGGCAGCTGCCCAGGGTGACCCCGGCAGGGACAGGGGGACACGTGGCACCCACCAGCAGGGCTGGACACTTACTCATCCTGTGGCATGGCCGGCTCCATGGTTTCGTAGATGTACCAGTCAGAAACAAGGTCGTCGGTGCCAGCAAAGCCGTTGTCCAGCAGAGCATCATGCATCCCACCGGAGCCGTTGGCTGCCATGGCTGTCTCCTTCCTCCCTCCGCGGGCTGGAGAGAGATGGCAAGAGGCAGCCGGAGGCAGAAAGCAACGGGGCTTTCCTAAGGTGGGTCCTCCTGGGCTCTTGGAAAAGCAGGGATGGAGGCGCTGAGCCAAGAAGCTTTATCTTCTTGGGTCACCCCCACAGCCAGACGGGACCGGGAGCTTTCAAAATCCAGCTGTGCCTCCAAGGATCCAACTCTTATCTGGACTCGGAGGGAGGGAGAAGGATGAACACACACCCCCCACATCCCCCTCCCCGCACAACCCGAGCACTCAGGGCACACCTAGTCATCCTCCAGCCGCTCCCTGCCCGCTGCGGGATGCTGATAGACTCAGAGCCTTTGTTTGGGTTGTTTAACAGCTTTTACGCCAACGACTCGAAAACTTGCACAAGGGTCAAGTTTTGGGCTCGGCGGCACGGGCTGGCTGGCAAAGCGGGGACAAGATCTCACCGCGGCTGGGGAGGCTGTGACCTGTGTCCCCAATGTCCCTCTGTGCCACCAGATGCCCCACACAGCATCCAGCCTCCCCCAGCCCCGGGAGGAAACCTCAGCCCCTGTCCCTTTGTAGCAATAAAAAGGAAGAAGGATTTGTCACGGTGCCAGACCCAACAAGCTCTCATTTCTCCTTCTCCCCGTTATTTTTTGATGACTTTGGCCCAGACAGCCCCACCCCCTCCTCTGCTGTCCCAGAGCTACATCGCACAAGCTGCAACATGCCTCATCCACCATCGCTATTGGAAAGGCAGTGCCCAAAGGCATCCCCAAAAGACAGGCAGCAGTGCTCAGTGCAGCCTCCAAGCCCCAGGAACCAGCCCAGGACCTGGCGACACCTCATCCCACAGCTCGGGGACATCACCAAACCCCCCAGGGCTGCTCAGTGGCTCCGAGGGGACAAGTAGGAGACGGATGACTGGGCCGGCAGCTTTGCTCCAGGCTACTGTTTGTACAGCTGGTGTTCACCAGGGACCGTGATGGATATAGCACGCCAGCTTCAAAGAGATTCCCCAGATCGGGGCTGTGGCCCTGCAGGCAGACCCGTCTCTGGACAGACAAGTGGCACTCGCCACCACAACCATGCTGCCCCATGGCCTGGTGGCTCCACTGGATATCACATCCCCAGCCACGTTTTGGGTGCCCTCCAGGGACTCCCTCTAGGTCAGGACATGAGACCTGGGACCTTCACCTCCCTTCCCAGAGGACCAAAACTCAGCTAGAAAGAAGGTCCCCCCCACCCCAGCATTTGGTCCACATGTCAGGGTGCCACTGCCATCCCGCTCCCCACTAGCGCAGGCTCCAGCAGAGGAGGGATGGACCCCACCAGCCCCAGGCAAGCATCCAACTCAGATGGACCCCAGACCCCATCCTCGACCCACCCTGCGCACGCCCCAGCCCCAAAGCATCGATTCTCCAGCCATCCCTTGGTTTCGCCTGCGCGGGGAAGCAGTTCTGACCTCACCTCCCAGGAATGTAGCACTCCGTAAAAAGGTAGAAGGAGCCTGTAAAGTTCATGGCAGTGCACACACACGTCTGCGAGCCCCTTTCTGCTCCCGTGGGGTCACCGAAGGCTGGCAGGGCTTGGAAGTTGGGGCTGGGGTTTAGTCATGTAAAGCGAGCCGTGCCAGCCCTGGCTTGGGGCAGCATTGCTCTGGGGATGCCGTTTTCCCCTGCCAAGCAGCATTCGGACGAAGAACCAACTCCAAAAGCCACCGTGGGATTGCCCGTGCCCCTCTCACCTCCCTCTGGGGTCACCCAAAGAAGGGGAACCAGTAGAAAGCAAGATCTACCTACCCACTAGCCCAGCAGCATTGCCCCATATGACCCACCTCCAAACAAGCCAGCAGAAGCCACCTTGCCAACGCCCTGGTTTTCAGCCGCCTGGGGGACACAACGGCCGCAGAAAAGCGGGAAGGAAAGGAGAGAAGAGCCCAACAAGAGGCACGTACAGCCGTCAGGGAGCCCCGCTGGGCAAGCCGCAGCCTGAATCCGCACCGGGCAGCAACATCACGAGACCAAGCTGAGAAGCTCCCCGGATAGCGTGTCAGCTCCCCTTCCAGCGCATCCTTGCTCGGAGTATCATGCACACTCAGAGCCCGGGGCTTTGCTGCCCGTCTCTGGCTGGGTATGGGACCAAGGTGGATCAACACTGTCCCAGCACCAGGTGACCTTCAAATCCTCCAGCCCGGCTTGCTCATCTTCATGAGATGGATGTTCTCCTGCTCCAGGGGAAGGTCCCCTCTTGTGGTCCACCAAGCAGGGTGGCAACATCTTGGTCATCATCCGCAAAAACCAGGTGTCTGGAGACATCAGGAGGTGCTTCAGAGCCTTCAACCCATCTGCTGGACACCATCAGGCAAACCGTGGCAGTGCAAGGCTGAACCAGTGACGGTGTGACATGGGAACATCCAAGCCTGGACCCCAGTGGATCTCCTATTGCCCTGGGCAACAGGGCTGGTGCTGTGCTGGAGCAGAGACCTCGCTGGCACATGGAGGGCAAGGCGCACAGGCATTTCAGCTGGGGAGAAGCATGCGATGAGGGTCTTCAGCCTCACCGAGGCACAGGGAAGAGTTAACCGCTCTATTCCTGCCCAGGCTGCAAAGGTTGGTGTCCCAGAGGAGGAGGAGACACAGGTGTGCCAAAACCTCAGCAGGATCAGCATCCCCAGCCAGGGCAAGGCCACCGCTCTCCACCCTGCTCCGCGGGCGCTGGCTCCTCTCGCCAGGGCCGAGCCAGGAGCTTGCCGGCTTCGCAGCCCCTCGGTGCCCTGCCTTTCCCGAAACCTGATCTCTCTGCTCCTCTGCGTAACCTCTGCCGAAACAGGCTGGGCCTTTGATCACAGCAGCCTCGCCCGAGATTGATGGGTTCAATAAAGCTCCTTCATATTCTTCATTTCCCACTATCCATCACCCTCTGGGGAGCTTTTGCATCCCACCACTATGAATTAAACTAGGGGGGGGGAAGGGAAGAGAAGAGGGGAGTCATAAGGGAATTACCCCCCCTTCCCTCCTCCCATCCAGCCTAATGGTGATGCCTTGTGTACAGCTTTTAATAAAAATGATAAAGATCTCATTTCACAATTGTTCAGGGAGCCCTTGGGCCGGGGAGAGGGGAAGAGTTGTTTAAGCAAGATCTCTAATTCAATTGCCATTCGGGAGCCACGCTGGTGGCTGCAAAGCCAGGTGGCACAGGGATGGCTTTGGAGGACATCAGCAAAGAGAGGATCTGGTGACCCAGCTCATGAGATGCTCGTTCCCAAAGGTGAGTTTAGCGGCTCTGCCTCTCCAAGCATCGGCTGAAGCCTGGTCTCACATCAGCACAGGCTGAGCCAGCCAACTTCAGCCCCCAAAGTCCACCAAACTCAGTGTCCCAGCCCCAAAATGAGATGGGAAAGGTCGGTTTGCAGCCGCTTGTGCTCAGCTGAGAAGGGCAAGGGGACAGTCGGTCCCATCCCTTCCCTCCACCGGTGACTTTGGAGCCCTCCAAGCACCAAAGATGCCCCAGCCAGGCCTTGCTCAGAGCTTTTTGAAGACTTTGATCATCTTTCCGGAAAAGCAGAGCTTTTTTCAGCATGAAGATCTCATGCTGTCCCCAGGTTCCCCAAACACAAGTGCTGAGGAGCCCACGCACACCCCAGACCATCCAAGCTGGAGGCTGGGACCTCTGGGAAGTCACTGCCCACTCTTCCCCCGGGACAGGGTCAGCCCCAGGAGACTGAGGACACCGAACTCATTGCACTGGTGAGCTGATGCAGGAAGCCCAGTGGCTGGTGAACTCACTGCACCCCAACTCACTCATCCCCTTGGGAAAGCCCCTGCCTGGGGCAGGGAAAGATCAAGAGGAAGTTTTTCATCCCATCCAGCCATCCCACTCCGACAGCATTTTCCTCCCTCCTCCCAGCTCAGACACGGCGAGGCCAGTTCTCATCCGAATCAACCCCCTTCTCCCCCAGATCCCTCTGGCACCCCGACCTCCACCAACCTGGGGAGAGCCCAGGAGCCTCGCCAGCTCTTCACAAACCCTTTTCTCTGCAAAGCTGGAGCCTGCAGATAATAAATCCACCGCAGAGATCATAAACACATCAGCAAGTCAAAGGAGAAGCCCCTTTCGCATTTGAAAAGCAAAGGCAGCTTAAACATTTAAGCCAAGGAGGCTGTTTAAAGTTATTTTTAGGCTCCTGACACCCCTGCTCTTCGTCTCAAAGCAAAGGCAGCAGCACCTGCTGCACATGAAGCCCCCCCCGCAAGCCAGTGAAGGGGAAAAGTCAGTATTTTGCAGGATTGCACCAAAACCTGCTGACAAAGTCATACATCAGCACGGAAAGCGGTGCTGGGGGGGGGCTCAGGGCAGAGCACCCCATAATCTTGGCTCCTCTGATGCTGGGGGGGAGCGAGCATTCCTCAGGAAAAGCCCCCCCCGGGATTGCTTCCCAAGAGGGAGGTGAAATCCCTGCTTAAGGGCAGAGCACGGATTTTTTGGGGGCTCTGCACCCCTAGAGCAGGATTTGCCCCACTGCGAGCAAACAGGCTGCAGATTAACGCTCGCAATTACAACCTGGAGCGATCAACTCTGCGGGTTCGTTAAGCCTGGCTTCCCCCACGACGCCAAATTTGCGAGAAGTGACGACAAAAAGGCGGGGGGGGGAGAGGAAAGACAACAAAAAAAAAATTACCTTCTTCCAACCAGCGACCTCCTTGCAAGGCACCCAGAGGCTAGGCTTGATGAGGGTCTCGGGAGAAGCGTGGCCTTGCTAAGCAGGGTCTAAAGCATCTACTCGCGGAAGCCCGGCGCAGATGCAGCCATGCAAGCTTAATGGCAAAGTTCAGAGCACCGGCGAGCGAGCGGAGGCTCGCGGTGGCTCAGGGAACTTTATCCCCTCCATCGGCAGGAGGCCTTGGCTGGGGGCCACCCTGGGGTTTAGAAAAATTACAAACAACCAACCCCGTGCTCCGTTCTCTCCCTTTGATTAGGCAGAGCTTTTCGGG